CTAACCACTGGGCAGACTGCCTCAATGCCTGACCCACTGCTAGGGCTCAGCCTGAACTGTGGACAAACTGGACACCCAGGAAGTTATTGTCTCACATTGCTAAAAAGAAGGTGAGGCCAGTCTCTCCCTTGATCTTCCTCCACAGAAAAATCCTCTCATCTTCTGTGCCTGATGGCCATACTGCCTCTGCCTATGTTGCCATGGAGACCCCAGGAACCTGGGACAACTGTTTAGGTAGGGGACTGTGGACTAGTCTCTGCAACTCTGATTGATAGTAGACCATTTGGGTTACAACTCGTCCTTCTCACAGCTCTGATGGGTTTGAAGATGAGGCTAGTCAAAGATTTATCAGTTTAACTGCAGAAACCAAGGCTTCAGATGTCTTCTCAGTCCTCTTCATGTGTAGAAAACAGGCCTTAAGCCTCACTCTCCTAAAGCTGCTACCGTTAGGTCTAAATAGTCACCAGACTCAGAAAACAGACAATTAGCTCTTACCCCAAGGTAACCCACCTCCATTAGTTAATTCATTAGCTAGTTAAAGTGACTATGTACTAGGTTTCCTGTTAAGAATGGCAAACAGGTTAGCCTTGCTCATAGGCTTCATGATAAGAGATAAACAGGTCTCAGTCGTAACTTCTTAAAGGAATAGTGACTGCTCCCAGCAATCTCACCTGTGTCTCATGGTAAATAACTGGATGGAAAGAAAGGTAAAACTTACGTAAGGCCTCCTTAGGCCTTGCAGAAGATTAAGCTATGAGAACCCAAGAACATATTTTAGGGTCTAAGAAAGTTATTCATAGAAAAAAAAAAGAGAGAAAAATAGTTGAGATTTATTCCTGTTGCTATGCTCCTGTCGTGTTAAGACTGTTCAGAGCTTTGACATCATTAATCAGTGGAGCTCTGATTTTTTAGTCTAACTCTGGTAAAATATCCCACTACACAATCCACTACCATAGTTCCAAGCTCAAGATTTTAAATTTCCTTTGGTTTATCTTTTAAACATAGACTTAAAGTTGCTTCTCACTGTACTAAATTTATATACATCCAGTCTTCTGGTTTGAGGAAAGCAGTTCCTCTTTCATGATGTGTGGTCATACTTAAAATCAAGATCAAGTGTTTTTGCCCTTCTGCTTCATGGGAGGTCCCATGTCCTCCCAGAGCTTGCTTTAGGACACCTGTCAGAAAGATTCTGAGGTTTCTGCCTTCCCTGAGCTCACCTTGAAGAGTGTTCATGCTTTTAACCCAAGATGGTTTCCCAAGCCCTTGCTATGCTACCACACAAAGATGTCTACTGTCTTTCTACAGAGCAGATTTCAGTACAGATCACGCACAATGGTAATGTTAACATGTCTGAGGTTTATCTCCTTTTGTAAACTTAAAAAAATTCTTGTAAGATTGAGGAGACTCAGATCCTCCTCTCATAGGTCAAATGGACTTTAGATAAGTACTATCAATCAACAGCCAAAGTTTCCCCACTATTTTCTATTTCAGAGGGTGGGATTCCTCCCCCCTTCCCTGGTCCTAGGTCTCAAATGTATATTCTACCCCTAACATGTATATATATGTTCCAGCACCCTGCTAAGTTCCGGTGTTTCCTCAAGAGCTGCCTCCAGCACACACTTCCCCAGCTGCAGTCGATCTCACCGATCCTAGACAGCAAGTAGGACAGCCTGGCCTTCCCGACATGACCAATATTCCAACTTTTTGGTTCCCCTCGCCCCCCAATATTGATGACCCAATGTCAGCAGGAAGCAGTCATAGATGAATATGCTGTCCATTATTCATTTATCATCAACAAATGGCTGTCACGTTGTGCTTCAAACCTAGAGACATGCAGCTCCAGGTTCTCTCAAAATCCCTCAGTCCCTACCTACTGCAGGTGTGGCTAGCATCCCGTGCCCTCTACCCTGAACTTTCCAGCCCCATTCGTTTGGTCATCTAGACATTCTGGTGCTCTCCGCTCCCTCTACCCCTCGCCCACATGGCAGCTTCCTGCAAACCTTCATTTATATACTTCGGCTTGTCTTGTATGAGAAGCTCTAAGAGCACAATGTCCTCACTCCTGCCTTACCACCCTCCCTAGTTCCTCAGCTTTTAATTAAATGAGGGGGAGGAATATTAACTCACAGATGACTCTACTAGCCTGCCTGCAGGGTCCTAGCAACACCTTCTTTTTGGTTTTTTTGTTTTTGTTTTTGTTTTGTTTTCTGAGACAAGGCTTCTTTGTATAATAGCCCTGGCTATCCTGGACTCATTTTGTAGAGCAGGCTGACCTTGAACTCACAGACATCTGTCGAGTGCTGGGATTAAAGGCGTGAGCCACCATGCCTGGCACCTAGCGACATCTTATGTCATCATCCCCAGCCACCAGGTATGTGCCAGAAAGAAGCTCTCACCATCTCTCTGTTCTCCTGTCCCTATGCTGTCTCTCTGTCATGAGCATCCTATCTCTCTCCCTCCCTGCCCTGTCTCTGCCCTCACGACCCACTACTCTATCTTTTCTCAGCCCCTACCCCTTTCCCACAATAAATCTTTATACCACATCTGTTGTGTAACATGTAATCCCTCAGGAGGTATACCTTGGCCTGGGTCCACCATGTTGTCCCTGCCACCCCATTATACAATTTACCACTGGGGCAAATTATCTCCTTTGTGCTGAGAACTTGGTCTTGGGGGTCCTGAGCTGATACCATTCCTTACAATGTTGACAGTCTGAATCACACAAGATGGATTATTTCTTTTTCTACAAGACATTAGATTTTATTTTAACAGTAAATTTACTGTAAAATTACCTGGGTCTTAATTTGGCAAGACCTTACTTGAAGTTTTGTTTAATTTTACCTTTTCTACTAGAGCATTGTTGTTGGAGCACAGTCCAGGAATGTGAGGTGAATTCTGAGTGCTTGTGAGAACACTTAAGAAAACAAATCTTGTGACTTCAGTTTCCTGAAAACCGTGAAATTATTCTTGTTATGTGTTTTTGTGTTCCTCCCAGGTGTGGCACGGGACTGACTTTACTTCGGATAACTCATTACTGTTTGCTGTTATTATTCAATTAGATGTTTAAACTATCCTCTTTTTACCTCTATGAAAATTTTATACAGCTTGAACTCATGAGACTTTACTCATGTGACCTTTATTAGCCCTCAGAGTACAAACTGTCTGAGGTGCTGAATAAACTTGGCCATTTAGTGAGACTTTAGTCCACCTCATTTATTGGCTTCATTCTCCCAGGTTCCATCACTAGAGTTGACACATTGCCTTTTAGGGTCTCAACAAAAAGACTAAAATGTTCCCTAACATCTTTTCATTTTGGCTGGGCAGAAAACTCTCTAGCACCCTATACTGTTAGCTTAGCTCAGCTTTTAGACTTCTAGTTTCTGTTTTCTGTTAGGTCTCCCTTTCACAGCCTTTTCTTGTATAGGTAAAGGTTAAGAGGACCTACTGTAATGGGCCTATAGAAATTTTTATGCAGCATTTCTTTTATTGAAGCTCCTGTCTTTCTGGGAGCATTTCCACATTTTTTTCCCTTGTTCATTTACACAAAACCAAAAAATAACAACAACAAAAAGCCCAATGTCTTCATTTGGATTTCAGTATGCACACTTAGAAAATGTTGGGGAGAAACATGCTATAAATATAGGTCTCATTAAAAAAGATTGAAGCCTTCCTTGGTCTTTGTGAAATATGAAAAACAACTGTATTATGTATCTGTCTACTTCTGTAGTTGTTTGTAGCGAGACAGTAGATATTAGATTCTCTATTTCGGCCAAAATGAAAAGTAGACCATGACTAAAACTTCAAAGTAAAAGTATTTAATATAACTCTTTTTTTCACCTCCGCCTATATTTGCTGGTATAGAAAGAGCAGAACTAGGCTTTCTTTATCCAGCCTTATGATTTTTGTTAATTAGTGATAAAGTAAAAGAAAGACAAAAGACAGAATAAACTCAGGGGAGTAATACTGCTGACTCTGCAGTTTAAGGAACAGAGGCGTTTTGTGAGGAAGACAATGGTTTGGCAAAGTCGGCACCAATGCATTAAAGATCTTGGTAGTGTCAAGCTAAAGCTTGGGTATAGAAGGCTGCGAAGTGCAATGCAGGAGTCAGGTAAGGGGTACATGAAACTGTGGTAATGACAGGAATGCAGTTCTAGGTACTGTTAAGTTTGAAGGTATGAAAAACGACAGGAACACATATGGAAAGTGCTCAAGCCATGAGAGATCAGTGTACTAGAAGAACCACTGACATATATATTAAAATGGCTATTGTGTCCTTGTACAGAAGCTTCTCTGAAGATCCATGTATTAACTGTTGTTCTTAGTGCCTACCTGGGCCCTGTTCAGAAAGTCTTTTCCTGTACCATTGAGTTCAAGCCTTTCCCTCACTCTTTATTCTATCAGATTCAGGGACTCTTTTCTTCTGTTGAGGTCCTTGACTCATTTGGAGTTTTGTGCAGGGTGATACTTATGGATCTATTTGGATTCTTTTACATGAAGCCATCCAATGTGACCAGCACCATTTGTTGAAGATGCCGTTTTATTTCTAGTGTGTATTTCTGGCTTCTTTGTCAAAATCAAGTGCCTGTACATGTGGAACTGAGATCTTCATATATGAAAAGAATCCAAATAGTCACCAAATACCAGGGGAGACAATGTCCAAACTAGACATTGAATACCACCAAGTAAAACCACCAGTGCCAAAAATGGGTTACATCTTGTTGATGTTCCCAAAGGGGTCCCATGGAAACCCCACTGCCAAAGCTACTGGTTGTTCTTTACAACCTGATCGTAAGGCCCTATTGCTGAGAGATTTACTTATGACATCTAACACAGGTAAGTTGAGCTGGTGCCTAATCAGAAAGTTTAACCCCAACTCATTAGCATTCATGGTGCACTCACCAGAAGAGAAAGGTAGTCATCATCACCCCCTTCTTGCTGAGTGTACCCCTCATTAAAGCTTATATTGAGACACCCAAAAAGCTAAAGAAACACAAGCTTACCTGGATATGGCACTCTCCCCTTTGTTACCAGCTCTGTCTGTAAAATTCCAAATGACCACACATCTGACTTTATTGTAAATCGACCATATAGTGCAGCCTCAGGAGCTGTCCACTTGATTGGAAATTTTGCACCTAAAAATAATATTGGTAATCTTAAGTGTTTTAGAAGAATATTTGTATAAATTTAAGGTACACTGGTCTAGTCTTCATCAATATCCCTATTCTGTATGCTTAGGTCTTCAAACACAGAAAATGGAAAACTACATTTAACTTAAAATTTACATTAAATCTGTTTTTTCCCCCTCATATTTAGTGATTTAAAATGTTGCTGGTGGGAACAGAACATGATCTAATAAAACAGCAGAAGTTTTAATTGATTATAACATTAAAGATTAAAAGCAATGATTAAAAGCAAGATTATTTTAATATAAAACACCCTTTCATCTATAAATATGACAGTACTAGGAGTTACAAGACAAATGAAAATGAAAAAGACTCAGACAAAATATGATGAAGGCCCAAATGAACAGTCAATAATTGCATCTTTGAGGCACCTGTTTTCACTCTAATTGAACAGCAAAATGCTATGTGATTCCAAAGAATGTCTAAAAGGAATAAAGCAATTTCCATAGAACACGTCTGACTGGAATTATACCTGTTACTACTTAAATGTTCTGTCTGATTAATACAAAAAGCATATTAACATGACGCATTTTACAATATTTATGTGTACAGAAAATATTAGAATGTTATTTTCAAAATAAAAATGTCTTGTTTATACATCTAAAAAAAAAGCAAGATTATAAAATCTGCAACTTTGGGGCACATGGAATTTATATATATATCTTAGGCTGGTCTTAAATTCTCACAATCTTGTTTCAGCCTCCTGAAAACTGGGATTTTAAAAATTCGCTAAGTCAAGCTAAATCTGTTATTGTTTTTCGTTTGTCTACCAGTGTGTTTGTATGCCTGTGTAGTATATGAAAGAACAAAGATTAAACTTCATGCATGAGTCTCTCCCTCTATCTGGCTTTTTGAGAAAAGGTCAGCTGGGTTCTAATACACTATTTCTATGAGAATGACCATCAACTGATTCTTCTGTCTCTTCTACCAAGTGCTAGGTTTAGAGATACAAGACACTTCACCATTGTAAAATCTACAACTTTGGATTCAGTTGACATTCACTGGCTATAGCCAATTATGGCTGAAGGCATATTCTGTTGGGTCTAATTGCTACTGGCTTTTGCTCATTATCTTTCTTGTATTTTGTAGTGTCTTTGCAGAGGTTTATTTTTTTTGTGTGTTTGGGTATGCGCTTATGTGCTTTGAAACTTGATGAAGGTCAGAGGATAATTCTGCAAAGTTGGCTCTACTTTTCTATATTTACATGGGTTCCAAGGATCAAACTTGGGTCACCAGGCTTAAATAGACTTGCCAGCTGAACCATCTCACCAGCCCTTTATTATTTTTAAAACAGTGTTAAACAAATATTTATTATATGATTTTAATGCTTATGCATTATAATAATTATCATGGGAACAAAAACAACATAGCTCTCATAAAATGTGTGTATTTATGCTAGTAATATTATAGGTGATAGACCAGGCATGGTAGTGTGTGCCTTTAATCCCAGCAATCAGGAGGCAGGGCAGGAGGACCTCTGTGAGTCTGAGGCCACCCTCGTCTACAAAGCAAGAACCAGAACAGCCAGAGCTACACAGAGAAACATTGTCTCAAAAAACAAAACAAAACAAAAATTATAGGTGCTGTATGTACTTGAAGAAATTATATATACACATACTATAAATAGTTCAATTTCCACTTTTCACAATAGCAAGAGGTTTCATTAAGAGTTATAGCTAAGTGGGGTGCGGTAGCACACGCCTATAATCTCAGCACTCTGGTAGGCAGAGGCAGTAGGATCCCTGTAAGTTCAAGGCCAGCCTGGTCTATAAACTGTCCAAGACAGCCAGGGCTAACCAGAGAAACCCTGTCTCGAAAAAATAAAAAGAAAAAAGAAAAAAGTGCCAGCTAAATTTAGCCTTAAACTAAGACTAACCTGGTTAGGATTTTCTAAGTAAGTTACAGTAACATATGACTAGTTGGAGGTAAGTATATGTAGGAGTAGAGACAGAAAAGAAGTGGGGAAGATAATGAGATGACTCAGCAATTAAGAGCAATGGATGCTTTTCCGGAGGACCCAGGCTTGATCCCTAGCACCCACCTGGCAGCTAATTTGTCAGTCCAGTTCCAGGGGATCTGACACCCGATTCTGGCCTCCACAGGTACCACATGCATGTGGTACACAGACACAATATGCAAGCAAAAATACCCACACAATAAAATAAAAATAAATCCTTTTTAAAAAGTGGACCTAAGCGGGTGGTAGTGGTTCGTGCTTTTAATCCCAGCGCCCAAGGCAGTCAAGTATCTGAGTTCAAGGCCAGCCTGGTCTACAGAGTAAGTTCCAGGATGGCCAGAGCTATAGAGAAAAGCCCTGTCTCAAAAGCCAAACCAAACCAAACCAAAACCAAAAATCATTGTTTTTCTACATTGGCAATGACTATTCTAGATATAGTAATTATTTTCTGTGTTTGATTATTAGCCTTTAGGTTATAGCACGTTTAACAGTGTATTTGTCCTCTATCTACCAGATACTGACAGTAGTCCCTAAATTAGAACAATCAAAAATGCTTCTAGAGACTACTGATGTCTCCTTGGAGTAGGAAGAAATAATGCCTGATTGGGAACCACCTCCAATCCAAGACAAAAGCTTAAATAATAACTCAACAAGTTTGTTTTAAAAGAATAAGGAAACACTTGTCTGGGACAGGGGCAATAATAACTCTGGTCAAGTGCTTGTTGACCCTGAGGATTTGAGTTTAGATTCCCAGAACACAGGTAAAGCTGTAACTTGTGTTTGAAACCCGGTTCTTTCACAGTGAGATAGGACGTGGAAACTAGAAGTCAAGTTTGCAGACAGCTAAGCCTGGCCCTGCTATTGGGAAACAAGAAATCTAATTTCAAACAAGATGAGAGAGTAATGCCCAAGGTTGTCTGCTGACCTTTGTGTGCTTTCTGTGTGTGTGTACTCATACACATGCACGCACAAAGAATAAATAAAATGTACTGCTGCCACCCTAAAGAAAATAACCAGGCTTTTAAATTTTTATTTTGTTTTAATCGTAAAAAAAAATTGTGTGCACACATGGTGTGTTTGAGTGTAGGCCACCTATTATACCCTTGCCAGAGAATGGGTATAGAAGACAGGACAATTTTAGGGAGTTGGTTCTTTCTTCTACCTTGTCCAGACAGGGTCTCTCCTTTCTGCTGCTATATTATCTACTCCAGGTTAACTGGCCTGCCAGCCTCTGAGCGAGTCTCCTGCCTTCACTTTCCATGGTCCCCTACAGTAATGTTGGCATTACAGATACATACCATAGAAAATTTTCACAAGGGTTCTAGGGGTCCAAAATAGGGCATCAGGCTTTGTAACTTAAGTGGTTTTTTTTTTTTTTACACCCAATAAGCTATCACCCTGGCCACTTCCCCCCAAAACCCTATTGACTTCCAACAGAGCTCATAAATGGAGCTTTGCTACATAGAAACTGCCCACCGAGAGGCACTTGACCTACAGATGGTTTTGTGCCAGGTCCACATGAACATGCACGTTACATGCTGGGCAAAAAGGCAGCCTCACAATAAAGGACTTTTGTATCCACACCCTACTCTGGTAACTATGTGTGTACTGACAGCCCATTGGGAGGGGCAGGCAGGGACCTGGCTACCTACTAGAACTATTTGTATTCTATAAAGCCTGGCATATTCAAAACAGTGTTAACTAAGACAAGCATAGGGCATTAGATTATATGCACCTACGTATGTTAATTTACCTTGTCTTGCTGTGTATTCATTGTCTTCAATTAATCTTGCTAAGCCAAAATCTGCTATTTTGCATACAAGATTTTCTCCTACAAGAATATTAGCAGCTCGGAGATCTCGATGAATATAGTTCATTCTTTCAATATATGCCATACCATCAGCAATCTTAACAGAAGAAACAAAACAAGAGGTAAAATATATGATACAAAGGGAAGAAGACATTTCTGGTTAAATTAAAGGAGCTGTTGAAAAATTGGGTATCTCAAAAAAAAAATGACAGTAACAAATACAGTCTAGAAGACATCAGCGAAACAGCAATTAAAAAAAAAAAAAGCTAAATTTTTATATCCCTAACACTGCAAGGAAAAAAAATCAACATATATTTTGAAGATCAATATTTCATAGCCAAATTATAACCAGTCACCGTGACCAGCACAATGTCCTATTTTCTTGTTGTCAATTGTTAGAAGAAGTATATCACAAGACAATGGAGTCTCTAGACAAAAATCCACACAGGTCATATCAGACATAATGTAAGGAACAGAAGTACCAATAAATTATAGCTTGTTGGTCAGACATGGCCACACCCTGTTTTCATTTGCCTTTAGAAGTTAAACAAAAAACCTTTTGCTATTTTTTTAAAAGGGCTATGAAAACTAATGAGATGCAACAGAGTTTATATGTGGCTCACAAAGCCAGCCATTTACCTAAGCTTTAAAAAAAAAAAAAAAGAAATGAGAAAAAAAAAAAAAAAGTCTGCCGTTTTTCCAAAAGAAAGTGCCAAGAGCCTTGAACACAGGGTCTAGTGTACGCCTGTATCTTCTAAAGTTTGTCTACATTATCAGATGCTGTGGACATGTGGATTCTTACTGATAGGTAACAAGGCAGATGCAAGCTCATCAAATGAAGCCAATAAATGGTGACTTGCCCTCTTCTTTTTTTTTTTCTTCCCCATTTTGTTGTATTGTTTTAGAGACAGGATTTCTCTGTGTAGTCTTGGCTGTCCTGGACTCGCTTTGTAGACCAGGCTAGCCTCGAACTCACAGAGATTCACCTGCCTCTGCCTCCCAGAGTGCTGGGATTAAAGTCCTGGGCCACCACATCCGGTTTTGCCCTCTATCTTAACAGAAACTTTGCAGCCAAAATTCAGAAGTGCAAAACAACCTAATTTTTTTTTAAAAAAATACTTTGTTTATTTGTTTATTTTATGTATTTGAATGCTTTATCTGCATGTACACCTATATGGCAGAAGAGGGCATCAGATCCCGGTATAGATGGTTGTGAGCCACAATGTTATTTGGGACTTGAACTCAGGACCTCTGGAAGAGCAGACGGTGCTCTTAACCACTGAGCTATCTCTCCAGCCCACAAAAGACTAATTTTTACCTGTTTGTTATCTGAATTCTTGTTTTAGATTATAATAAAAATATTTCAGCACACACTTTCACATTTTAATATATGGAGGAATTCTGGCTTTGTTACTAAGGAGCTCACACTGAACTATCTTCCAGTATTTCATTACATCAATTTTAATATTATGCTAAGATTATCTTACATTCTAAACATATGCTTTCAATTCAAATTGATACATATATACATGCAACAACCTGAGCAGCCATATCGACCAACTGTGGAAGCTTCAAATATTTTCCATCTCCTTCTTTAAGGAAATCTAACAAGCTCCCTGTAAGAGAAAGAAAGATATTCAAATATTACATTAAAATGGAAGTAAATACTCTTCAATATTAAACCACCAATGACAAAAGAAAACTTTTTAACTTTTTTAAAAAATTTATTTTTTTGGTCACTATTGAAACTTTCAAAGATTCCAGAGGACTCTCAAATTGAAAATTTTAAACTTCTCTTCATAATGGGTTTTAAAAGAAAAAAAAAAATGTACCATTTCCCTTCCCTGAGAGAAAACATCACCAGATTAGCTATCTCCCTCCCCCGACTTTGATCAAGAATCTGTGATGAAAAACAGTGTTAGAACTATTAGAACTATGTATTTTAAAGTTGGTTTGAATCTAGTGTTCAGTCAACTGGGACTATTCTGGACAATTCCATACAGGCAGCTCATGCTGGCCTGATAGACAGCACTTGGTGTCAGGAGATGGCACAATGGAAAACCACAGTATGACGACTCAGCAAAGGTCTGGCTGTTTTCTCTCTACTGTGAGTCAAAAGCATAGAACATCGTATGAACCCAAATCAAGACAGATTTTTATAAAAACAAAACAATAGAAACACTCATTTTCATAAGAAAGGCTGAAAGTTTCTGATTAAAAGACTCAAAAGAGAGATGACAATTGAATATTGGGCTTGACCATGGATTCCACCCTGGATTAAAGAAGTATATAATTGGTAGAACTGGTCAAGATAGGGAAAGACGTTCCGACGGACAAGAATAACATGAACCGAGCTCATGGGCAGGGCTGGGCTACCATGGCTCAGCGGCAGCCTGTGTTCTTAGTGCATACAAGACCCTGGGGTGACTGTCAGCACAACAGCAGGGAAAATACAACACAGAAATTAGGAGCAACAAGAAAGTGTGCCTACAACGATGGGTTTATGATAAAGCACACAAGGTAATACGCTTTAATGGATTATGAGTCTCCTGCTAAGCAACTGAATATTAAAATGAAGAATTACAGCATTTTAAAACCAGAAAATGCTTTTGTTGTCTTATATTCTAAATCTCTAACCTGAAATAATTAGCTAAATTATGTAACAATAAAGAATTTTAGCATTTTCTACCAATTTTTAAAAAATCAATACATCAAGCTATATGGATGGTACATTAGCCTTACCTCCATTTGCTTTCTTATACTACTACTATTTTGATTCAAATTTCTTTCTTGTCCTTTTCTCCCTTCCTCTTCTATTTTACTTACTGCACTCATTCAAATACCAAGGGTGGCAGTTGTCTGCAGCCCAAACACCTTCCGAAGAAGACATATACTTTGGAACTTTAGGTATATTTTGGCTATCAATTAATAGGCTATTGTTTTTAGTCCTTTTAGAGGATTTTTTTTCCTGAAGCAAATTTGTAGTGTGTAGATGCCCCTATCACCACTAGAGGGAACAACATCATCAGTAAGGTGGATGACTAGAGAAGTTGACTTAACAGTAACTTAACTAGTCTCATTTCAAAAAAGCAAAAAAAGAGCCAATTCAAACTGGATAGATTCAGTCTAATCAACATCATTTCATCACTTACTGGCTCCTAAAGCTGCTAAAGCATCGATGGTCTAGAAATAGTATCAACCTTGCCTGGCTTTGCCCCTGGCTCTAACTAGCTGTTATATAAGAGCCCACCTGTGCCTGGGTTGGCGAGGAGAAGAAATTTCAAATGACAGCAGGGGAACAGTTTCTGAGGTTCTTTGTATAAGAATTGTGTTTATATAAAATAAGGTAAAAATAATTCCCTTTAATGTCTTTGCCTCAGTGCTACAAATACAGGCCTACCACTTTAATTCAATTTGTCTACTTTTCTACTGTCCTAGCAATACATTTCCTTTAGACAAATCTACTTTGAAAAGACTCAGTCGGCCTAATTTTCCTTCACGATCCTGTGGGACGACTGAGAATAACCACTAGTCCATAAAAATACCACACTTCCTCTTTCAAAAGTCTACAGCAAAATCTTGTTAGAAAGTACTATGCAATAAAAAAATCTGTATGTATAAAAATAGAGGCAGGAGAGCTCAGGGAGTAAAGATGCCTGCTACCCAGACTGGTGACCTGAGTTTAAATCCCCAAACCCAAATGGGAGAAGAAGAAAATGGACTCCTCCAAACTGCCCTTTCATCGCCACACGTGTCATAGCGTGCGTGCACCCATACACACACGTAAAATATAGAAATAAATGTAATTTTAAATGAAAAAAGTGATTATCAAGCTCAGTGAGCTATGACTCTTGTAAGCTACACTAGTAATCCGCCTGCCAGGTACACCTACTGGTGCAATCAGGGCCTGCCTGTGACGGGAGTAACCAACCACCCCTGGCTGGACTTAGGAGGACCACATCACAAGATGGAACCCATATCTGAAACTGTTAAGGAGGCCAAGAACCTCTGAAAGGTAGATCATGGGCCCTGGGGAAAATCTACAATTATTCTGTTAATGGATAATAAAAGGAGTCCTAACAACACACCGTGACACCCATAGAGAAGTGCATCACTGAGCCCTCATCACAAAGACTACTTGCAGGAGATGGTAATTAACATAGAGAATCACAATTGGACAACACTAAGAGTTAAATTTTTGGAACACTGAGCTCTAAGTGGGATTACGACCTAAACACATCACACCCCTTTGCTCATGGCTCAGGGATCCATGCAAGAGCCAGAGGTGGTGGATGACTCTATGAGAACAGCATTTTCCAGACACAGCAGGTCTGATACACATATGAACTCACAAAGATTGTGATAGCATGCACAATACTTGCACAGTTCACACCAAACAAAACCCTGGCATAGAGAAGGGGAAGCGCATGTCCAACTCCTAACCAAGAACCTATTTGCAACTGACAGATGCTGGAAAAAGAAAAAAAAATTTTTTCCCCAATGGAGAGACACTGAGTATTATCAAACACACCCCAGAAAAGGCTGAATACTCATGAATAGCTATACAACACAAAATAAACTCCATGTTTTTGTTTTTAATTGTTTTTTTCACACTGTTTCTCTCCACTTTTAAAAAGAAAGAATATAGAGCTTGTTGTGTGGTAGGTGGGTATAGTAAGGACCTGAGAAAGAATGACATAACCAAAATATATTGTATGATATTAAATCTAAGAAAGAACAGACCATGAAGTTTCATTGTAACACAACCTTGTAAGACAATTCATATGCACATACCTTTTGACATAAACTCAGTGACAATATAAATTGGCTCTTCAGAAACAACCGCATATAGTGGAACAAGTTTATCGTGTCTTAATTTTTTCATTATCTGAGCTTCTTGAAGGAATGCTTCCGGCATCATTGTACCTGGCTTTAGTGTTTTGATCGCTACTTTTGTGGTTCCATTCCATGTTCCTAAGAAAACAATTTATTTTACTCTTTCAATCTGTATTTCAAGGAAACTTAGATCAAAATTCAATCAACAATAAAAGTTATCCTACATAATAAAATATATATTATACCCATTTTATCATTTTTTTGCTATGTTAATTTATGGTTCCACAGTAACAAAATGAAGTAATAACAATGCTAGGCTTCTTACCCATCCACACTTCGCCAAAGCATCCTTGACCTAGTTTAACCTCTAGTCGTAAAGATTCTCGAGGGATTTCCCAAGCATCTTTTGCTAGACCTTGAGTCTGCGGTTTCACAGTTGGACACACAGTTGTTAACTTGTGGCATAAACCATCAGCATGCTCTAGATAAACGAAGAGGGTACACTATAAATTAATTACTTTCAAAGTTAAGACAAACAGAATGCTAGTGTATGTAATCATGATTATTTATTTGGTTTTTGAGACCAGATCTCACTATGTAGCCTTGGCTGGCCTGGAACTCACTATGTATACCAAGTTGGCTTTGAACTCAAGAGATTCACCACTTCTAGGATTAAAGGTATATGCTTCACACCTGCCCTGTTATTTGTTTTTGTTTTCTTTTTAAGCTGAAGTCATTAAATTAGAATCACAATCTATCAGTTTTACTCTAAACACACATAGAAAATAGGAAGCTTTTTATAAGATGAAGTCTATACAAATGAAATATTTTAGAAATACATTTTGTTAATATTTATTGAATATGTATTGCTTATGTTATTGTATCAATTAGCACTATATTAACTCTTTCATATAAATTGAGCTTGGAAAACCTAGGAAATTTCCCTAAGGCCCCAGCTAGTAAATGAGAGGATTCAAACACAGATTTTTTTGTGTCCAAAATTCCACTCTGCTTTTGGGTATCTGAGAGCTGAATTCAGAGTCTTCCTGCCCTAGCCTTCTAAGTACTGGAATTATAGGCCTGCACCCCAACTTAAAGCTCAGTTTTTACCACCAGGATTCACGCATTCCCCCAGAGGTATACATCATTAGTTGTTATTTCCAACAACCACTAATTTGTAAAACTCTGAGAATCAAGGTAGAAGTTGATGTAAGGGATTGAATTTTAAATAAAGGAGACCTAAAGCAGCCAGTCCAGATTGAGAAAGGCTTAGTTTGTGTATCCTGCTTATATAAAACCTCACTGTAAATGAGACACATTTCCTCCCATTCTCATGTAACCACTTAAATTCACATTCTAACAAGGGCAATTACAAATAACACCAGCTTAATAACATGTTCAATCAATGTCAAACTTGCTGATTGACTTGATAGTTTCAGTTTGCTGCTAGTTGTCACAGTAGAATTGTCATGGAAACCTCCCCTCTTGTAGTACCAATTATTTAAAGACTTTCAGATGCATATACATATCCAATTGGCAATGAAACATTTTAAGACACAAGACTCTAAAATAGAATACTTTTCAAAGGTCCTTGAAAGACAAGAATGTCTACAGTTGCTACAGGTTCATTTTCTTGGGTAAGAAATAGCATCTTCAAATTGGATCTTATAGGGTATATATTTTAGAAAGTTTTAAAAGATTCAGCTTCTACAAAAGGCAATCAAAGAAGACATCTGAAAGCTTTTGACTCTATTTTTTAACTTTTCTTTTTTGCAGTGCTTGGGAGGGAAACTTGGCACATATAATTAAGTACTTTACCACTAAGCTACTACAATCCCAAGTCTGAGACAGCTTTTTTTATTTTACAAGTTTAATTTTAGCTACTTGGTGTTCATAAATAAAGTATTTGCTGTCACTTTTAAAATTTAGTTTAGTTATTGTTACAATCTACTTTGTATTTATAAATTATGATCTGGAACTCCAATGTAAACACTATGCCAGTTAAAGCATAATGAGTCCAATGATAGTCTGATTTGGGTATGCTATCCAATACTGTTTATTTTTTTGAGTCAGGGTCCTACTCTGTTACCTCGGCCACATGTCACTCTTGTTCCTCATTTTGAAACTAAAGCACAGCACCAGCAAGATGGCTCAGGTGGTACTTTGGCCAACTTAAGTTTCATTCCCAGATCCCACACAGAATGAGAGAATCGATTCCCTAAGTTGTCCCCTGACCTTCACACAGGCGTTTGTACACACACTAAATAATTAAAAAAAAAAAAAAAAAAAAACCAAAACAAAAACCCAGAACACCAACACCTATCGGGCACTTACTGTGTGTAAATAGAAACGAGCAGGTTAAAGCTTGAGAGATAAAGCCCTGTCCTCACAGAATAAAATGTAAGAAGTCAATTCTTCCCCTGCAGTCCTCACCTACCTGTGTAGTGCTTCACCAGTTTCTGCAGAGTATCAAATTGAGCTCTGGTCGTGATGTAATAGCCACCATTGTCAAGTTTTCTGATTTTGTAATGTTTCACATTGTCACCCCTTATCTCATCCCAATCACGAATTGAGAGGGAATAAGCACCTGCGGGTTGGGGAACAAACACTGTCACTGTATTTCCCTCGAACTATGCTTAAGGCATTCAATGCTCATATTAATGTTGTATTCATACCTTTAGTAGTTTCACTTTCTCTTACTAAGAATATACCTCGCTGATTCCCAGGATTCAGAAGTAATCTTTCTGCATCTTTTCTCCCCATTTTGCCAAAATACCATCTGAAAAAGAAATTAATGATATTTTGAGTTGGAAAGGTATGAAGATCAAAAAAAATTACATACATGTACCAATAAGAATGGAGTAAGATAGCCAGGCAGTGTTGGCGCACACCTTTAGTTCTAGCACTTAGGAGGCAGAGGGAGGCAGATATCTGCGTCTGAGGACAGCCTGGTCTACAAGCAGAGTTCCAGGACAGCCAGGACTACACAGAAAAACCTGTGTTGAAAAACCTAAAAGAAAGAAAAAAAAAAAAATGAAGTGTGACAGACAGGAGAGATAACAAAGAATGGCTATAAAACACAACTTAAGACATACTATAACTATTTGTATGTATTAAACATGAGAATTAAACATTAATATTAGATCAAGTATAAAAATATTAACTGTGGAAACATGCTTTGATAGCTTTTCCATGTACTATTTACGTCCCTCTTACCAGCCAGAAAACCATTAAATAGAGAGGAAAAGACAAAAAGTACAGGTAGAAATCCCTCTGTGACAGAAAAATAATTCTTTGGAAACAATGTGATCACCTGTATTCAGTAAGATGTCAGTAGATGATAACAAAATTATAAAGGACTCCAAATTTGTATGGGTTTGATTTTAAAAAGTTTAGTGACAAAAAATGACAGTCAGTGTGGGTGGAAAGTTCACAGACTACTGAAGAAGACAAAGAACCAAAAAAAAAAAAAGTAACAAAAATAATAGAAAAGAACATGGTTGTAACATTTCTATCAGTAAAAACAAAAACAAGCATCGCCACTGTGTATCTGTGCAAGGAGCTGAAGAGACAGTCTGTGGAGTACAAGAAATGAGTTTTTAAAATGAGCAAATAAATAAATAACGGAAAGAGACAAAATGCAATGTAGAATGATTAATGCAGATTTGCTTACTGTGTCAAGCAGACACAATATTAATTATTAATTCTCAAAAAGCATTTATTAATATGATACATTAGATGCATTAAGAGTGGTGTACAACTGCATGTAAAGTTGTGGTTATGCAGAATGTGCATTAAAACATTTTAACAGTCAAAATCATTAATAAGATATGAAGTAGAACCATACTCTTCTGCCTGAATGGAATCTGCAGGTGCTACATAATTGCTAGGAATATAGCCATTCTTTCCAGTAGCAATTGATCTTGCTTCCCACCAGTCTCCTTCCCTGCAAGACAGAAAAGAAAAAAAAAAAAATCACCATAATGTAGACTCTTAACCCAAGGTGTATGTAATTTCTTATCTCAAGCAAAGAACAAAAACCACTTCCACTTTTATATAGATTTTTTTATGTATTATTTATAGATTAATCAGACCAAGAATTGAATTCAAATGAACAAGATTTTAAAAAGCTGGTTACATAAATTAAGGGGATTAAGGTGACACAAAAGCACAATTGCACCTATCCATTCTAAACCAACAGTAATAACAAAACCTCTAAATACTGAATCTTTAATTCTACTTATCTTTTTATGTTAAATATTTCAACTCAAGCTAATAAACCATGCCGAATACAGAAATTTACTAAATTTTAAGTAAAATTTTAGCAGTCTGAGATTTTATTTGTATATCATATATAACCCCCCCCCTTAAAGCATAACATTTAAGAGTTTTACTATATTCAGAATTGTACAGTCAACAAAATAATACATTTTAGAACATTTCACCACCTGGGCTGGCAAGATAGCTCAGTAGGTGAAGGCACTTGTCACCCAAGACAATGACCCAAGCTTAATAATCCCCAGAGACAATATACAGGAGGAAGGTGAGAACCAACTACATCAAGTTGTCCTCTGGGCTCCACATATGTCCCAAACACACATCATATATATATATATACTAATAGATAAATTAAGTTAGACTAGAGAGAGGATGGAAGGAAGAAGGAGGGAGAGAGGTAGAGAGGGAGGGAAGGAAGCAGCAAGCAAGCAAACGAACAAACAAACAAGGGCTCAGGTATAGCTTAGTGACAGAGCACTGACCTTGCAAGCTTTAGGCTCTGGATTCTTTCCCATCTTAAACAACCCCCTCCCCCTACTCCCCACCCCTAAGAAAGACATGCCATAAAAAGAAATAGTATGAGAAGGCATAATAAGGTTAAAAAATACTGTACTCAAAATACTCCAAGTACATCATTATGGCTGGGTGGCAGAACAAGAAAGGACAAATTCTAGATGATTGTTATTGTTGTTGCCTTTTTTTTTTTTTTTAAATCTTCATGGACATTATTAGCTACTGAAGGCTCTTAAGGCAAAGAGACACATCATCATTTATGTTCTGGAACAGTAAGTGGTAACATGATAAAACAAGGATGGATGGAAACATGACTAGAAGCAAAGAGACTGTAAGTATGTGTTTTGAGAAGTTACAAAGTGGTTCTTATGTTTGCTAAAGAAATTACAAACATATGATGCTGCACAACACGCACCAAAGTTTCTATGGCAGACCACCAAACGACAAAGTCTAAGAGTAACGTAAGAAAAGTACAATTTGGTAAGTTTCCGAGTACAAAGTTTCCATATCCAGGCCTACCACCACACACACAAATAAGGTTTTTAAGTCATCTGATATTTCTATTTTACATACTTTTCTTCCTTAAGACCTTTTAGTAAGAGGCATCATTTTGGAGACAGAAACTTGGTATGTATGTAGCCCATGAGGACCTGGAACTCACCATGCAACCTAAGTTAGCCTCAAACTCAAGATCTTGTTGTCTGAGCCTCTCCAGTGCTAGGATGATGGGTATGTGCCACCACATCCAGAACTCTTTGTCCTAAAAACTCTATTGTTTACAGACTAACTCCAGGAGCACAAAAAAGGCAAATGCATCACCAACCCAGGGACAAAGACCCACCCCACCACTCTCATTTCCCTATCATCAGCTCCATCAATTGTCCAATTAGAAAACAGGTTTGTTTCTTACAAAATATACACAAAACTTACGTATTGTTAATTATCTGAAATCTTTCACCCTTCTTAAATGAAAGGTCTTCTGTAGTTCTAGCTTCATAATCATATAAGGCCACAAATATAGTGACACCACCTGGTATAGGAAAAAAAGAGCAAGGTAAATGATATACCTTAATTAATAAAAGAAATAATGACTATTGTCAGTAAAAGCTTAAGCTCAGTTTCCTCCTTGTTCTAGTATTTAGTTTTAGAAGTTGGGTTTTGAGTAAGATGTTCTCCTAAGACTTCCAGGGAAATCAATGTATTGCATAAATTCTAAAATGCTGTAAACTCTGAAATAAATATAATTTCATTTCTGAAGCAACATTTTCTGGCTTGAAAAGGCAGCTACACTGCAAATCAATTCTTTGGGAGGAAAAGCACACAGACTACTGTCTTCAATTCCTTATTCACAGCAGGAAGACATTTCTGTCTATAACCATTAACAATAATCATTAAGGTTATCTTATTAAGGTTCACTTTATACTTAAAGATGAAAATGGCTTATTTGTCTTAAAAGTTAAAGAGTATGGCTAGTATGAATTACACAGTATAAACTCAGAAATAGTTGCCAGATCTAGCAATGTATGCGTATCATTAAAAGAAGAACATATCTAACATCTAATCTATTACATGCAATTAAAATAACAGAGCAGGTATATACACTAAGAATGACACTCCTGTGCTTAAAATATTTCAAAGCAGGTATTCTAGTTTTAAAAACCCATTATATCACTTTTAAAAGATGTATATATTTATCAAATATAATAAAATATTTTGAAACGTATAAATTATGGAATGGTTAAACCAAGTTACATCACAGTATTCATCTTTTCTTGGAAAGAAACTAAAAATCGACTTTTACCAACTTCCAGTAGAACCTGTTATTACTGAGCAGAGTCACGAAGTTGTAAAAAAAAAAAATTCTTGAACTTATTTCTGAAAGTTTATATTTTTACCACCTTTTTTTCTGAGACATGAGAGAGGATCAAATTCTTAGCCTCCCATACGCAAGGTCAATCTTCCCCTGAGCTACACTTCTAGACCTGAGAATTGATACATATTCTTGCTGAGACAAGGCCTCACTGCATGGACCAGGCTGGCATCCAACTCAGAGCGATCTTGCCTGCCTCTGCTTCCCGAGTACTGGAATTAAAGATGTGTCTCACCAAACCTGGTTTTGATCAACATAGTCTTAACTCAATTATATATAAACTCCCTCTGGGATAGCTGACTTGACCTGCTGCATCCACTACTAGCTTACATACATCAGTATTTTTAAAGAATAGGAGAAAAGGCAAGCAGTAAAATTATAAATGAGTGGTAAGTACAAATACTGTGACATGGAAAATGTGTTATAAAACTTGCTACCTCTAAATACAAAGTAGTAGAAAAGCAAAGATACCAGAACACATTGATACACAGCATCAGCTCCCTCACCTAGCTGCTCCCCTCAGCTTTGGTCATCAACCAACTTGCTTATTTAATATCTTTACTTCAATGTCTAGTAAGCATTTAAAATTTATTATAAACAAACGAAGCTCTTGATTTTTCTCCTTTAATCTGTATTTGCCCAAGTCATTTTTCTCTAAGCAAAGGGCAGAGCAGGACTGTTAGTTCTAGCTCTAAAATGTATGATTCACTTACTTACCACTTCTACTATTCTATTACTAGTATTTCTCACTAGTAATTCTAGCATCAGAAACTTCCTTCCTAACCTGCTTCCACTCTGCTTCACTATCATCCACTCTCCACTTAGCTGCTAAAATGTTTTAATTTTTTCTCAAGATCTATTTTTATTTAATTATATGTGTATATGAGTGTAGTCATGTTTGTTCAGGAGCCTAAGAAGGCCAGAAGGGGGTGCTAGATTCCTGACCTAATGTTATAGGTAGTTTTGAGCTGCCTAAAGTGGATGCTATATACAAGCAAAACTAAGGTCCTCTGGAAGAACACCAAGTCCTCTCGTATGTATGAATGTGTGTATGTATGTGTGTATATATGTGTGTGTGTATGTTTTTATTAATTACAGTTTATTCACTTTGTATGCCAGCTGTAGCCCCCCCAGTCCCCTCCCAATCTCACCCTCTCTCCCTCCTCTCCTCCCATGCCCCTCCCCAAGTCCACTGATAGGGAAGGTCCTCCTCCCCTTCCCTCTGATCTTAGTCTATCAGTTCTCATCAGGACTGGCTGCGCTGTCTTCCTCTGTGCCCTGGTAAGGCTGCAGCTCCTCAGGGGGAGGTGATCAAAGAGCAGGCCACTGAATTCATGTCCGAGACAGTCCCTGTTACCATTACTAGGCAACCTACTTAAGACACTGTGCTGCCATAGGCTACATCTGTGCAGGGGTTTTAAGTTATCTCCATGAATGGTCCTTGGTTGGAGTATCAGTCTCAGAAAGGACCCCTGTGCCCAGATTTGTTGTTGTTCTCCTTGTGCAGCTCCTGTCCCCTCCAGGTCTTTCTATCTCCACCTTCTTTCATAAGATCTCCTGCACTCTGCCCGAAGTTTGGCTATGAGTCTCAGCCTCTGCTTTGATACCCTGCAGGGTAGGGTCTTTCAGAGGCCCTCTGTGGTAGGCTCCTGTCCAGTTCTCTGTTTTCTGCCTCTTCCAATGTCCATCCTCTTTGTCTTTCTGAATGAGGATTGAGCATCTTACCCAGGGTCCTCCTTCTTCCTTAGCTTCTTTAGGTATACAGATTTTAGTATGATTATCCTATATTATATGTCTAATATCCACTTATAAGTGAGCATATGCCATATGTGTCTTTCTGCTTCTAGGATACCTCATTCAGGATGATTTTTTCTAGATCCTACCATTTGCCTGAAAATTTTATGATTTCCTTGTTTTTAATTGTGGAGTAGTATTCCATTGTGTGAATGTATCACAATTTCTGTATCCATTCCTCAACTGAGGGATATCTGGGTTCTTTCCAACTTCTGGCTATTACAAATAAAACTGCTATGAACATGGTTGAGCAAATGTCCTTGTTGTATAGTTGAGCATCTTTTGGATATATGCCTAGGAGTGGAATAGCTGGATCTTGAGGTAGAGCCATCTCTACTGCTCCTAGAGTGCTTTTAAAGAGGACATCCAAATAGTGAAATCTCTTCTTTGATCTCAAAGCTTCTTTCTATCTTTGAATAACACTCAAATTATTTCCTACAGTCTAGAAACTGTCTGTCTTGTCTTATACAATTTTCCCATCTGTGTACATTTGTCTTTAAAACTTCCAAGTCTATTTATACTTCTTGAACTCTGTTTGTTGTTTTTGATATTTTGCTCTTTTTTTCCCTAGCTCCCCAAAAAGCTCTACAAATAGGTCACATCTATCAATCAAGTATCAGTGCAAGTGATTTATTCCTAAGGTGGCTTTCTATGCTAACTATAGGGCCTTCACCGATCATCTTGTTTTTGACTTCACAATACTTAAGCACCACTACTGATCACTATCTTTAGCTGTTTACTCACTAATTATTATTCAACCACTATAATGTAAACTCCACTAGGTTTGTGGAGTTTACTCCACAACTTTGTGTTGCTCTCTATACCTTATCGGACATTCTGGTTTTTGTCGCCCCCCCACCCCTTTGTGTTGCTCTCTATACCTTATACGGACATTCTGGTTTGTGTTGTCCCCCTCCCCCAGCTTTTAAATGGACATCTATGAATGGAGTATTTCACATATGTAAACTGCTTTAAGTACTGGGAATGAATCTGGGAAGAGTTGCGGAGTATTGTGAAAGGTGAAAATAATCAAAATACATAAAATTTGTCATAAATAAAAAATTAAATTGCTCTAAGTAACAAAAATGTCTTTCCGTATCAACATTTATTTTACTCTAGACATTTTGATTTACTACGTTTTTCCAAGAAATTTCAAGGCTTGTGTTACCAGAAATAGAAGGATGGTCACTGATTCCTTTAGTATTTACAGTTGGGAGGCTGAAGTTAGGATTGTGATTGACTGTGATGTCTGCCATTCTCCAAATGCTATCTAAATAGATCTAGTGTATGGCAGTCCTCTGTCTACTACTACTGGTCCAGAGATGAGTAAACTGTGAAAGACAAATGTACATATGGTCCCTGTTTGTAAAAGAAATTTCTTTTTGCCCCTATTGATTATAAATAAGGACATGAGCCATTCCATTTGTCCTTGGAAGCTCTTCATAGCCAAGGCTAAGGTGGGACTCCGAGGATTAAGGGAAAGATGAACGCAATGCCATACCTTGCTGACATCATGAAACTCGCACAGGAAATCCCAGAGCTCATTCTTTTCTAAGCCAGCTGTGCTTTGTTATTTCAAAAGAAAAGCATCAGAATATGGGACGCTGGGCAAAGAGCTCATTTTCTTTTTTCTTTTTTTAAATCTATGCTTTTAGGACATCCTGATTCCAAGGCAAGACTGTCAACTATCACTTCTTGCTACCCTCTGAAAGGAAATGACAATGTAATAAACAGAATTCTGAACTAGTCTGTTGCTTACCAACTGTGACTTTGAAAAAAAAATTACCTGAACTGTGAACTGCAAGATTTCCTTTTTAAAACCAGCACCTGGGCCAGTGAGATGGCTTAGCTAAGAAAGGAGCTTGCTGCCAACACTGGTGACCTCAGTTTGCTCCCCAGAACCAATGTGGTGGAGGAAGGGAACTGACTGCTGTAAACTGTCCTCTGACTTCAACATGTACACATGGGGCATGTAAGCACACACACAAAATAAATGCAATAAAGTCAGGATCTGATAGAAACAGTGTGCTACTGTTATTAAACTCACATCATTAACATGAATAAATAATATAGCACTTTACAGCTATAAAGAGCAGCAAGTCATTGGGGCAGAGAAAGAAGGGTGCTTCTAAATCTCTGTATTACCAGTGCCCACCACATAGTAGCTGCTCAATAATAGATAAATTAGTGAAACATTTTATGGTATAATTCAGTAAATAGTTACTATTATCACCAAATTTCCCAGAATCCTATCCTGTATATATTAAGACTCCAGGGCTAGGCAAAACACTTGCCTAGCATGTTATTTTGGAGGCCTTTCTTTTGATCCTCAGCTCTATGAAAAACAACAAAAACTGAAAATGTAAAGGTGGCGTGGCTGCAGAGTAATATCCTATCTCAAAAAAAAAAAAAAATTCAAGACTGCTGTTTATTAGATATTACTTACTCATACAATTTTTTGAGAAGTCTGCTAGGAACAAATTTTGCCTAGCAGTGGCCAGACATAAAGTCTGTAAAGCCCAAGGATATATTTTCTTCTACTCTCCAGTTAAATCTCACCTGTTAAACCTGCAGGATATGAACTTGGCACCACTGAGAATGAGGAAGACATTCCTCCAAAAGGAGTCACCCCAGAGGACCCTCCAAATGGTGTCATGGAAAGACTGTTAAAATTAACCGATGCTCCTTTTGTGGAGGAGGTCGGGGCAACTGTAGAAGGTTCCACTCCATAATGACTGGCACTTGTGCTTACGGGCTCTGGAGGGTTTTCCGGTGTATACTTAATGGCTGGACTTTTGTTTTCTTTACTTTTAATGCAGCCCATTATCAAATCTGCAAAAGCAATAAAGCAAGAATTTGAAAATTAGTTAACATAAAAATACAACTGAGCCCAGTGTGGTGGCACATGCCTTAACCCCAGCAATCAGGAGACAGAAGCAGGCAATCTTTGTGCGTTTGAGATCAGCCCAATCTATATGACAAGTTCCAGGTCAACCTGAAAAGATGACTTTGAACAAGGCACTCTTTGTCTTCTTCCCCTACCCTGCAAAACGATATTTTAACAAAACAAAACAAAACAAAAATACATTTTATCCAAAATTTAGTTAGTACCCATAAAACACATTAAATTGCAAAAATATTTTGGCATAATAAATTTGTAAAATTATCTAAATACAAATTCTATGAATTAAAAAATACTAATAACTAAATTAAAGTCTGAAAGAATAAGTCATACCAAGGAGTTAAAAGTATGAAAGAAAACATTATTTTAAATCTGACAGTAGGCTGATGGCAGAATGTCCTATTAGTTCAAAAGAGGTTACTGACCACCCATTTCTCTGGCAGTTTCCTTAATTACTTTCCCACCTTCTGCATGCAGTATGACTTCAGCTAGGTGGTGGCTGCCTCCTAAGGCACGCCTCTACCTACATAAATATCCTCTCCCTTCAAGAGCCACACATGCTTTCCTTTGCTCACCTACAAAGTCTTCTATTAGTATTCCTGGCCTGTCGTCTTCCCTTTCCTCTTAATATGCTCTTGTTCCTTATAGTAAATATACTATAAATTTCTTCATGCCCCATCCTCCTTAGTCAAATTAATCATCTAAACCCTGATTATTCCTTTTATATACCTCTTATTTTCCTCCACCCACATACCCCTTTTTTTAAAAACAGGGTTTCTATGTAGCCTTGACTGTCCTGAACTTGACTTGTAGACCAGGCTGGCCTCACCTCTGCCTCCTGGAGTGCTGGGATTACAGGTGGGTTATAGCTATGCACCATCATGCCCAGGCTTCCACTTATCCTTTTCAATAAAACAGGACAGACCACCATTGTCAATCCGGCTCCATCAGGATGGTTTTGTGCACTGTGTATTTATATGTTGATTTCTGTGCCCAGAGATCAGGCTGCAGTCCAGACATGGGTCTGTCATTATTACTGAAGCATCTCTTATCTCAGTGGTGTCTGAAAATTGTTCCCCATCATCTTTGATTGGTTAATAAAGAGCTGAACAGCCTATAACAGGACTTCTGATACCAGGAGAGTTCCAGGTGAAGGAGAAAGTTGAGGAAGCCACGGAGCAGTCATCATGAAAACAAAGATGGAGCAGGGGCAGCCAGAATGGGATTAGATGGTAGGGCACAGGGCTGGGAAATAGTCCAGACCAGCATAATTGTATTAGAATAGATGAGTATCTGCTCAACTACAGTGCTTAAAGATTATTAATAAGTCTAATAGGTCTCCATACCGTTAGTTGGGAGCTAGAGCAGGTGTAGAAAGGCCCAAACCTTTTACTTTACCTACAGAAGTTACGACTGCTGTCCATCTCGTTTCACTTTTTATATATGTAAGATATGGTTTTATTTTAAGGTAATCACCAGGTGCAAACAAGAGTTAAAAGACATGTGGTGGTAGGGCGTATGTGTTTGCCAGGGGTGGGAAGAGGGTATTGTTGGTGAGATGTTTAGTGCAGTGGTTCTTAACCCATGGGTCCTGACCATTTTGGCAAACCATTATCTCCAAAATATTTACATTACGATTCATAACACTAGCAAAATTAAAAGTTATAAAGTAGCAACAAAAATGATTTTATGGTTGGGAGTCACCACAATACAAGAAACTGTATTAAAGGGTCATGGCATTAGAAAGGTTGAGAACCACTGGTAAAAGAACTTGCCACTCAAGCCAGGTGTGGTGGCACAAGCCTTTAATCCCAGAGGCAGAGGCAGGCAGAGTTCCAGGGCAGCCAGGGATAAACCCTATCTTGAGAAACAAAACAAAAACAAAAACAAATACAAACAAAGAAGAACTTGTCACTCAAACATGATGACTTGACTTCCATTCCAAGAACTCAAATAAAAAGCCAGATTTTATACAGGTGCAGTGGCATGCACCTGTATCCCAGCACTCCTGTAAAATGGGAGGCAGAGACAGGAGAATAGGCTGAAACCTCCTGTGCCACCTAGCATGGAAATCGCTCATTTCATGTCTAAGGGTATTTTTGTATGCCTGTGCACCATGTATGTGTCTGGTGCTCACAGAAGCCAGAGTGTGTGTCAGACACCCTGGAGTTACAGGCATTGTGAGCTGGTACTGGCAATCAAATCCAGGTCCTCTGGAAGAGCAGCCAGTGTTCTTAACCACTGAGGCATTTCCTTAGCCAACTAACTGAACTTGTTTCTTTTTGTTTGTTTTAAAGAACAGACCCTTGAAAGTGTGCTCTGATCTTTACTTGTGTACCATACTGCATATGTTCACACACAATAAATGCAGATTTCCCAAAGACCAGAATTTCTTTATAACGGATTGCTCTGAGTTCCAAACTCTACCGACTTAGGTATGTATTAACATAAATTATTAGAGCACAAGAAGAGATGGTCAGGGAAGGGAGGAGGGCTGGAAGGAGAGGTGAGAGGGGCTCCACTTGGGAAGTGAGGTAAATAAAATGAAACTAAAAAGGAAAAAAAAATAGTAGATGGTCTCTCTTTTTAAAAAAGATCCCCCCAGGTGAAATCTGAAAAGTGATAGAGGGAAGGAGGTACAAAATATCAGAGAACAGAAGAGTAGTTTAAGTGAGGTCTTCAATGTTGAGGAAAGGAAGCAGAGGAAGTGGATGTTACTGCAATTTTAAGGTTCTTGTAGAATATGAATGTATTTACAGATGAAAATCCTTTCTCAGTTTTTACATAAAATGTCTTTGCCCCCAAATTAACTGAGGTATAATTTAAATACATTCAAATGCATCCATTTGCATGAGAGGTTCAATTGTGTTTTGGCAAATGTGTAAAACTTCACAACCAACATTATAATCACAACACATAATGTTTTGATCGTCTCTTCCTCAGACAGTTCCCAACCATAGCCCAAGGTAACCACTAATCAGTTGCTTCTAATTGAAGACTCATCTTTTCTAGTGTTTCTCATAGAGGGAATCACAAAAGCAGCCTTTTGTATCCTTTAAAAATCAAATACTGTGCATATGAGATAGCTCCATGGATATAATTAGCTCATTAATTTTTACTGGCATTTTCTTGCCAATGTGTTATTTATTCCAGTTTTGGGCTAGAAACACTCTGGCAAATCTTTTGGTTATTATTCTCCCCACCCTTAGCAACAGCTAGGAATGGAATTGGTTGGTCAGACTCTTTTGCTCTATGAAGCTGTGTATCTGTTTTCTACATAATCTGTTCTATTATTGTAAACACTCACAATCATGTGAATTCCATTTGCATTTCCATTCCATTTACCTATTTAACACTACCACATCTTTCTCAAAAAGTCATGATACAGATATATGGATAGAATCTTATCCAAACATCAATACAGCTACCATTTCACTCAGTTTAGAAAGATTTACAACTGACATCTTCTGATAACAAAATGAAGCCACAACACAAAATGCATTTGGCTGAGTTGATGTTAAATAAATCTACTACCAAACTATTAAAAAAAAAAATTAGCACTACAAGTTAAGCCACTCAGTTCTAATTCAGTGGTAGAAACAGTGGGCAGGACCTGTGTAGCTGACAAACACCCTCACCACTACTGAATTTGCCTCACTAAAGAGGTTTCTTAGTGTAGAAAACAAAAGTTAACACAGAGGCTCACAACTAGTCTAAGTGCAGACAATAAATGGCTACAGAATGTTTAGTCCCAAGTTGGGTATCTGTACCACCCCCCTCCCTGCAAGGCTCAGGGAATATGGGGGGGGGGCTGTGGGAGGCTGTAAAAAAGTAGTTTCTGGATATGAATGGGTCATCGAAAACATTACGGCATCTGTAGCTGCATGCATAAGATCAAGAGAAACAAATTCCAGCACTGATGGAGATCCACTTATGATGCCCTAGCTAAAAGCTAATAGCAATTGATGGCCAGTGTGGGTGGGAGTCAGGTCTCCTTAGGTTGTGGCCTCTAATAGTCCAGTTGATGGCCCTACAACCAAGAGCACAGAGCCAGCTCTTCTCTTACTGGACTCAATGTATTGTTGGTTGTTTGCTGGCCTGTCTTCTGGTATTCAGGTGGAAGGGTGTCCAGGCAATCCAAAACTCCAAGGCCACAAATGCAAGTCATGATACCAAATTTGGTTGTTTGTTATTAGTTGCTGCTGGCCTACCTTCCTGATCAGGTGGGAAGGTATCTAGAAAAATCACAACTCTGAAGACTGGGAAAGTATCCCAGTTCTCAGTAAGACAGTGTTCCAAGGGTATTCTAAGGTACAGGATCCCAGAAACCACACAGCTCTCAGATGGGACAATGTCTGAAGGGTATCCCGAGGCACGAGAAACCAGGAACCACACAGCTTTGAGAGGAGGCCTCCTCAGCTCCCAAGGGAGGGTTGCCCTAATTCCTGATCAACTGAGGAGCTTAGGAGCCTGAGCTCCACTCCTTCTCCAACTAATGTAGCTCCTAAGGGACGTTGGAGCCTGAGCTCTGCTCCTTCTCCAGCCATTGCTGCTACCAGGGGAGGGTTGTCCCAACCTTTGATGAGCTGAGGAGCCTAGGAGCCTGAGCTCTGTTCCCAGAGGCAGCAGGGAACTGGGCAGACATAGCTTTTATGTAAGATTTCTTTGGGGCGGAGCTTTTTAGGACAGGGATTTTCAGTGTGGACTGGTGGGATTTCAAGTCCTGAGCCTGAAGAGCTCAGGGATTGGTAGGCTTTCCTGCTGAGGGATTAGTTGGTTTACCTACTCACGGATTAGTCAATTTTTCTCTCCAGAGATGGGTGGGTTTTTGTCCAGCCCTTTTACCTCAAATTTGCATAATCTGGGATGAGAGCTGAGGGGCTGGAGATGACAGTTACAGAGGTCTGGCAGTGAACGGGGGAAGAACTGG